TACAAACTTTTATAGGGCTTAGCTCACCCAGCCGCACCCAGCATGAAAGCTTTCAGGTCTTTCAACTGGCTCGAGAGACGGAGCATGGCATGTGGGAGCAAAGGTGCCCCTTGAGATTAGGGTATATAGGAGAGATACAATATCTCCTCCTACATAGAAACAACGATAGCTGGGAAAGCCCCCAGTGCCATGACAAAGAAGGCACCACCAAGTACCTGGATGTCATCTCATGTTTCCTTCCAGAGGCTCCAAAATCAGATCAGTCTGGTATGCAAATTTTACCAAATCTCCCATAGACAGGTGTCTGGCTCTGCCCATTCTTGGCCCTTGGCCCATCATTGTGACCGGCTGCCTCAATAACCAATAGCAAGGCTCAGGAATTGAGGCCCCGGCCTCACCCTTAACCATGGCAGCTGCTTGAAATTTGCATATTAGAACATCCCAGGTTTTCGGGGCTCAGCAAGAAAGCTAAGTGACGTGTCTATTAATTCACGCCAGAGGGAGCTTCCCCAACGTTCAGTTGATGCCAGAATAGGCCCAATGCCAAGACAGCTGTCCTCTAACCTTGATATGAGGGACCTTGGCTCCATCAGCAATAGGTCCAAAGCCAAGGAAACTATCCTCTAACCTTGATATGAGGGACTTTGGCTTCATCAGCAATAGGTCCAATGCCAATACAGCTGTCCTCTAACCCTGATGTGAGGGACCTTGGCTTCATCAGCAATAGGTCCAATGCCAATACAGCTGTCCTCTAACCCTGATGTGAGGGACCTTGGCTTCATCAGCAATAGGTCCAATGCCAATACAGCTGTCCTCTAACCCTGATGTGAGGGACCTTGGCTTCATCAGCAATAGGTCCAATGCCAATACAGCTGTCCTCTAACCCTGATGTGAAGAAGACAAGAAGGCCCATCTAATGTTCCCGGCACAATCAAATCAGAGTACAGGGTGGCATTACTATCTGATTTGTGGGGATAATTCAGGGTAACACAGATGGTTTCCTTGTTCAAATCTCTATAAAAAGGGGCGGCGGTCCATATTATTTGACCATGCCCAAGTTGCTGCACGTTCCCGGCTGGACAGCTGAAACAAAACTACTTCTTGAAGCTATCCCGAATAGTTGCTAATCAATTTAACATTTGGGGAGATTTCCCCCATCACACCGGCTACTGGGATTTGTCAGGAAAACATGCACTGTGCTTGTGTTGGGTGAAGGCACCCGGTGTGGACAAGCCTTACAGGTCTCATGTGTTTCTATATGAGCAAATAAAGACAAGAACACATTTTATATGATCACAAATGGGAAGAACCCAACATGGGAATAACACCTGGGAATCACACATGGGAGGAACCCAACATGGGAATCACACAACATGGGAATCACCCAACATGACAAGGCAATTCGTCAATGTCCCCATCAAATACACAGGATTATACCTGCATAGCACAACCAAGGACTGGATTTCATTTATCAAACACTGAAACTACACTGAATTAAACATAAACAACCTCAAACTGTAAAACAAAAATCACAATCAAAACTATAGGACACTCACACTCTGGAATGTGAATGAAATCATAATATAGAGTCCCCGATACAGTCTGGAAGCCAACCTCCCCAATAAAGTGGACCTCTCTAGACCAGCGTTTCTCAACCTTTATCAAAGTCATGGCACCCTTTAAAAGTATCTCGAGGTAGCCCAGTTTAAAATGGTGGGTTTACCCCATCACATCAGAAGCACACCCTTCACTTTAAGAGCCCCCCCACGTGCTTTACGTCAGATGCACAATTTCACATCATAGTTCCCCCTCTACATCATTAGCCCCCTCCTTTCACATCAGAAGCCCACTTTCACATCAGAGTTCCCCTTCTACATCAGGAGCCCCCTTCACATTGCAGACCCACTACCACAAATGTTTGAGGCACCTCTGAGGAGACCAGGAGGCCCACTAGTATGCCACGGCACCCTGGTTGATGGCTGTTCTAGACCATGTTGGATAAAGTAACAGTTCTAGGCAATAGTGGACACCATAGAGTGTCAATACAAAGCTTCAGCTTGTCCCAAAACGTCCCTGAAGGCCACCAAGAGAGACCAGGACCAACTCTGATCCTCAGGTGGGTTCCTCGCCTTCATAAAACATAGAAGAAAAAAAAACAGGAAACAATAGTCAGCGCTCTCGAAATAATGCTACGAAGAATGTATGTAGTATGTGGTATGCGGCTCTGATCACCAGGAGGACAATGCCTGTAAATACTACAACAATAAAAACACAAGAGCGCAATAACCTTGATGGTAGAGTGTTGTAGAGACTGCCTGTCTCTCCATGTCGCGCTTGTGTTTTTATTAGGGATGCACCGATACCATTTTTTTTAAGACCGAGTACGAGTACCGATACTTTTGATCAAGTACTCGCAGATACCAATTACCGATACTTTTTCTTAAAGGGACAGTGAACATTTTTTCTAAAGCAATACAAACTAATGCTTTAAGGTCACTTTCTTAATATTATGATTCATGAGATGACGAGGGAGCATGACGCCGGCTTCACGGCCAATCAGAATGCGTCATTACACGGCGCCCGGCTTACGGATTTGCCAGCTTCCTGACCAGTCGGGAAGCCGGGCAGCGCGTCATTGCTACAAGTGACGAGAGAGCATGGAGCCGTTTCCTGGCCAATCAGGAAACCCGGCAGCGTGTAATGATGCGCTGCCCGGCTTCCTGATACAGGAAGTACTCATGCTGGGTATCGGAGCATTTGGGCGAGTACGAGTACCCATATACTCGGTATCGGCACAGATACTAATATCGGTATCGGTGCATCCCTAGTTTTTAATTGTTATAAAACACAGAAAGCTGATGATTTACCACAGGAACGCGTTCCATGCCGAGTGCAGGACCAATGAAAACCATTTTCACTGCGGTAGGAACGGCGATCCCTCCTTTCATCCCCCCCTCACCGTACTGAACACATGACGTTCCGTACCCTCGGCATCAACAAGGCTTTGCACATCCGTCCTGAAGCCCCCAAAGCAGAGAGGCGACGAGCATTCCGATATTCCCAGCACGCGGTCCTGATCACATAATGCGCCGGCATGCGTTTATACATTACAATGCATTCTATGGACTGAAACAATAGTAAATGAAGCTGTCGGCCTTTTCCTTGTATTGGGCAACGCAACCCAACGCCGCTGGTGTGAACAAGCCCAGAAAAGAGCCCGGCTCTGGGCAAGAACTGACCCCCCACCCCCCCTCTAGGGGTGTTGGGGGGGGGTTGAGGAGAGGGGGGGACCCGGAGTTCAGTTTTAAACGGTGTGTCCGGCCAAAACCTTTTCGTTCTTAGTTTTTGAACTAGGACCCTTGAAGGATTGTACTGCTATCCGGGGTTCCATTAGAGAGATTTCCCCCTACTTCCTGTCCTGAGGACGATGTTTATATTCGGGACCTGGGACTTCCTGTCCTGAGGACGATGTTTATATTTGGGACCTGGAACTTCCTGTCCTTAGGATAATGTTTATATTTGGGACCTGAGACTTCCTGTCCTGAGGACGATGTTTATATTCAGGACCTGGGACTTCCTGTCCTGAGGACAATGTTTATATTTGGGACCTGAGACGTCCTGTCCTGAGGACAATGTTTATATTCGGGACCTGGGACTTCCTGTCCTGAGGATAATGTTTATATTTGGGACCTGGGACTTCCTGTCCTGAGGAAAATGTTTATATTTGGGACCTGAGACTTCCTGTCCTGAGGACAATGTTTATATTTGGGACCTGGGACTTCCTGTCCTGAGGACAATGTTTATATTCGGCACCTGAGACTTCCTGTCCTGAGGATAATGTTTATATTTGGGACCTGAGACTTCCTGTCCTGAGGACAATGTTTATATTCGGGACCTGGGACTTCCTGTCCTGAGGACAATGTTTACCAGACAGGAAGTGAGAGGAAACTCTGGAAAGGCATCACAGAAAGACAAAAAGAAAAAGGAAAATGCTTTCTCTCCGTGGAGTGGTGGAAAGCTACAACCCGGGTCACATTTCTACGGCTGTCTCTGTCCTGTACTTCCTGTCTGATAAAAACCATTCCCAGCAGGACAGGAAGTGATTGTAAATCTCTCTAATGGAGTCTCGAAAATACAGAAAAGACCCAACAGTAGTCCCAATGTCCCAATCCTCCCCCACCTCCCCCCTCCGCAAATCTAGCAGAAAGGTTTTGGCGTGACGCACACTTTATTACCAGCGCTCACTGGCCTCTGTAGCTGCAGGAACTCCGGCGTCACTCATCCTCACAGTCTGCCAGCATAGTCATCTGTCACACAGAGCAGTCTCTCTCTCTCCTGTCACACAGACCAGTCTCTCTCTCGCTCTCTCTCCTGTCACACAGACCAGTCTCTCTCTCTCTCTCTCTCTCTCTCTCCTGTCACACAGACCAGTCTCTCTCTCTCTCCTGTCACACAGAGCAGTCTCTCTCTCTCCTGTCACACCTCTCTCTCTCTCTCTCCTGTCACACAGACCAGTCTCTCTCTCTCTCCTGTCACACCTCTCTCTCTCTCTCTCTCCTCTCACACACAAAACACTCTCTCTCTCTCCTCTTAAAGCAGTCTCTCTCTATCTCCTGTCACATAGAACAGTCTCTCTCTACTGTCACACAGAGCAGTCTCTCTCTATCTCTCTCTCCTGTCACACAAAGCAGTCTCTCTCTATCTCCTGTCACACAAAGCAGTCTCTCTCTATCTCTTTCCTGTCACACAGACCAGTCTCTCTCTCTCTCCTGTCACACAAAGCAGTCTCTCTCTAGCTCCTGTCACACAGACCAGTCTCTCTCTCTCTCCTGTCACACAAAGCAGTCTCTCTCTATCTCCTGTCACATAGAACAGTCTCTTCTATCTCTCTCCTGTCACATAGAGCAGTCTCTCTCTCTTCCTCTCTCCTGTCACAGACAACAGTCTCAGGTGTCTCTTTGCAGTCACATAGGACAGCCCCTCTCCCGGCAGTCTCTCACCTCAGGGTGGGCCCTATACAGGCGGACTCGGTGCTCTCGATCTCCCGCAGGATCCTCTCATGTTCAGGCGCTGATTCCAGCTCCGCCATGTTTGCTGGATCCTCGGGGCTCCGCCCTCTCACAGACTACTCTATACGCTGCGTTCCACGATACATCTTTTCCTGAGCTCCGTTCCGCGTTCCACAATACGTCCTTCTGCGCTGCGTTCCACCAATGTATGTCCTTCTGTGCGCTGCGTTCCACCAGTGTACGTTCTTCTGCGCTGCGTTCCACCACAGTACCTTCTTCTGCGCTGCGTTCCACCAGTGTATGTTCTTCTGTGCGCTGCGTTGCACCAGTGTACGTCCTTATGTGCGCTGCGTCCCACCTGAGCGCTGCGTTTCACTCTCCCTCCTTTTATTTCCTGGTGTAATGTAAAGTAATTGGAGAGTTTATTGTTATGCTCTCCTCACATCATTGTGTCATTATGTATGGAGAGAGTAGATGTGCTAAATCATAGTTGTGTGCAAGAGGGTGTCACTGCATCCAGAGTGTAAATAAGGGGGAGGGGAATATGTATGTGTGGGACAGTGGGAGGGCCTACAAGCTATACAAGCTAATAGCTGACTTAGATGATAGCCAATGAAATGGGGTTTATTTCTTCTCAGAGTTATGCGGGGGAGGGAGCTATAATTATCCTCAGAACAGTGTAGGAGGAGCATTAACTGCCCTGAGAGCTGTGTAGGAGGAGCTAAATTATCCTAACAACAGTGTGGGAGGAGCTATAATTACTTTTAGACCCGTTCACACCAGAAAGCTTTCATCGCTCGGATCTTTCTGCGCTGAAACGCATGCAAATAAAATCCCATACATTCCTAAGGGGGCTGTTTAACGCAAACGCACGCGTATATGGGCACACAATAAGGTAGACACCATGGGGTATATATGGGCACACAATACGGTAGACACCATGGTGTATACGGGCACACAATAAGGTAGACACCATGGTGTATACGGGCACACAATAAGGTAGACACCATGGGGTATATATGGGCACACAATAAGGTAGACACCATGGTGTATACGGGCACACAATAAGGTAGACACCATGGTGTATACGGGCACACAATTGTGACCGCTGCGACCCTGGTAGTTCCGCCAGTGATGCAGGTTTAACAGACATCCCTATTTGCAGCTGGGACAATGCATTATAAATGCAGTTATAGAAGGAGCCCTCTTGTGGCCAATATATGTACATACAGTATATCCTTTGTCCTATTTGTAATGTGTATTTCATATCCAATTGAGATCTTTTATTGGGGCTGTATTGACATATACCGTGTTTCCCCAAAAATAAGACACTGTCTTATATTTTATTTGGCTCAAAAAAAAAAAAAACACCAGGTCTTATTTTCAGGGTAGGTCTTATTTATTTTTTGAATGTACAATAATGCACACTTATTCATGTAGAAAAGTCTACATGTATTCAGGTACAAAAATATGGTGATCAGGGCAATCCCGGCCATCGGGAGATTGAAATTCCACATCCCTGCTGCCCCTCTACTCCCTGCTGCCCCAAGGCCGGGCCTTGGTTTGCCATGTGGGAAATCCGGCCCTGCTCACACCCTCCCTGTATACAGTAGACAGTATTATAGGATTAATGTTTGGGTTTGGACCCTATATCTGTTCTGAGTCTAACCAATATGGGGAATGTATATCCATCCTAGATCGCTGGTGGCTGGTGTGGCTCTTGGCACTCTCCGGGGGATTGGTCTCTTCTCGGCCCCCCACACAGCACAGGCAACTGGCCCAGGTTGCTTGCCCCAAGTCGAGTGTTAGAGGTGATTAGATCTGTCCCCATGGAGTCGGTGTTTAGGGTGTCGCACCCTGTTGTTCAAATCCAGCGCGGAGCGGTGGGAACCGCAGGAATTCGTATGGGAATTCTGTGTCCCAGGAGAGTTGATTTATAGGGGGCGCCCGAGAGGGGAGGGGGTTGTTCATTACAGGAGAGCAGAAGTCGAGGACTGTCTGCAGAGTCTCTGGATAGAGACTGTTTCTGATACATAGGCTGGTCCATGGGAAGGACAGGACCAGGCCTAGGACTATGTAGAGCTACAAAGATTCCCTAGTTTCCACATAGGGGGAAACCCACCGTGTTAGGACGGACAAAGGATGGGATTCCGGAGAATAGTAAAGTGCTAGAAGACTGACGATATTTGCCAGTGGGCCTATGGCCGAAGTAAAGTCGTGACTCTGGGCTGCACCTGGGCTGATGTACCTCTCTCTCTAAATTGTATCACCATGCAAGTAACAAGTGATGTGCCGTCACCCCATTCGGGGGTGGCTGAAAAGTATACTTTGTGCTGTTAATATCTTCAAGTAAAATCAACAAAAAGACTATCTGAGTGGACTGGTGCTTCTCCCTCCAACCTCTGAGAAGGTGGGGTTCTACCAAAGTATGATGTGGACTGTAACGTGGCTGTAACCATCTGAGAAGGGTAGGTGCGCAATGGGGCTATGCCTGACACAGGGTGCCATTCATGGTGGCCTTTCTCCCTAAGGGGGAGGAAGCGCCGAAGGCCGCAGAGGCGGTTGAAGCCATGAGGCCCTGTGTACGTAGTACTACACGTGTGGGAGTGTTTGCACGAGGCCAAGGCCGTGGCCCCTGACCGTGGGGTGTCTGGTTTCAAGTTGCATGCACGGGGTTACTCAGCCAACCCAAGAGGGAACACACACACGCAACACCCCGAGAGTGAACCCCGCCTACATGCGCAGCACCCAATGAATGGTGTTATAACATCTCAGTGGTTCTAATGTCTATTATTATACTAAAAAAATATGGAATGTTATGTAAGATTTGTTCACGTTCATGATTCTCATTACAGCATATGTTCTCCTGAGGAAGCCCCTCAATATTTGGGGTGAAAGGCATTGCGAATAGGAGGACGCCATCCTTACCACACTATCGCCACCCTTCATGAAGCTTTTTTCAGTCGTTGGAAAACTTTGCTCAGTTCATCTGGTTGTACAATGCTTTTATATACAATTCAGAGATTTCATTTGTTTTCTTTGTTCGCCTAAAAAGCCAGAGTTCTGGTCTTCGTGATGTATTTCTTTTGAGTGAGGGTGTGGTGCACCATAAAGGCGAACACTTATCTACTAATTGTTGCTCATCATATACTTTACTCTGCTCCACTGTGTACATTGTGCTGTATGAGATATTCATGAGGACAGAGCACATCACCACTGTAAGTCCCTTTTCTATCTTACACCACTGACCTCTGCGCACTGCGTCACCTTACTGAGCTCCGCACTGCGTCACCTTACTGACCTCAGCACTGCGTCACCTTGCTGACCTCCACACTGTGTCACATTACTGACCTCCGCGCACTGTGTCACATTACTGTCCTCTGCGCACTGCGTCACATTACTGACCTCCCCACTACGTCACCTTACTGAGCTCCGCACTGCGTCACCTTACTGACCTCAGCACTGCGTCACCTTGCTGACCTCCACACTGTGTCACATTACTGACCTCCGCGCACTGTGTCACATTACTGTCCTCTGCGCACTGCGTCACATTACTGACCTCCCCACTACGTCACCTTACTGAGCTCCGCACTGCGTCACCTTACTGACCTCAGCACTGCGTCACCTTGCTGACCTCCACACTGTGTCACATTACTGACCTCCGCGCACTGTGTCACATTACTGTCCTCTGCGCACTGCGTCACATTACTGACCTCCGCGCTCTGGAGAGAGATGGGCACAGTGGCAATGGAAGAGCCAGATTTTGGGGGGGGGTCATTTTCTGGCAGTGCCCTTCCTGAGACTAGACTCTGTATCCGCCCCTGCTTCACTTCTACTTCTGATGACCACAAGGGATTTCCCTCTCTTTAGAGGGATTTCTTCCCACTTCCTGTGAAGAAAAATCTCCCCAATGGGACACAGATGGAAAAAAAAACTCTGAGTGGTCATAACCTTCCCTCCCTCTTTCCTCCATAATTCCCGGATGTCACACTAAAGGAGGAAAAGTCCAAGCATTGTGAGCACTGAGGCAGAGCGTGGAGTACGGATCGGATACGCTCGTAAAATATCCTAAAAAAAGGAAATAAATGAGGTTATTTCCAGCGGTGCAGAATAAAATATCCTAAAGCTGGAAATAAGCTCATTTATGTCCTTTTTTTAGGATATTTTACGAGCGTATCCGATGATCCTTCCATGGATCTGATGATCCTTCCATGGATGAGTACAATGCTGGGTCACAGTACATGTCTTCTTCTCCATAGGAACAGCTATGTATAGACTCTTCCAGCACAGTGCTGTATGTGTGGACACGGTCATGGTCATCATCATCCTCATCATTCGATACACACACATTATTATTATTGGCTATACTCAGTGGACTATTTTCATGGATGAGAAAATAATGGCACTGACAGCACGATCGGCGGTGGTGTGCGATTCCGTGACAACCCAGCCATCCGCTCGGTTTTGTGCACGATGACCGGGCAGTCACGGATCGCACACCACTGCCGATTGTGCTGTCAGTGCCATTATTTTCTAATGGCATCCCAGTCGTGCCAGGCAGATTGCGCGTTTACCTACTTTTTTAAGCTTAACTGTATTGCTATCACACAGGGAATAACAAGCCCCTGTGTGATAGCATTTGGAGGTGACAGGTACTCTTTATTGAACCTGTCACCTCCAACACAGGAGTTCTAGCACATCGCTGTTGCTATAAATCCTGTGACAGTAACGAGCAGCTGCCGCCGAGGACAGAGGTTTCCACGTTCCATCCTCACCCATCCGCTCTCGGCGCTCCACGTCCCCCGCTCGCAGCGCCGCTCTGTGCGTTCATTTTAGGGAAAGAAAACCAGCCCTGCTACTTTTCCGTAGCAGGGCTAAAACAGCGAAAAAAGCATATGCCTGGCGCCCGGAACTACATGTCCCGGGCGTCGGGCGATACGAATTCCACACCCCTGCCACCAATGGGGGGTGTTAAATAATGCTGTCACTGACCACTAGTGCAAGGAGGGGTTAACAGCACCTCCACTGACCACCAATGTTGGAATGTTGGGGGATGTTGGATTGAGATGCCACCTCAGAGATGCCACAATCATGTCAATCCTGGTACCCCTGCAGCTTCTTAGATCAGCCCCTGCTGCAGCCTCTCGCCTTGTGACTTACTACAAAGTTGCATTCTGACAACTTAGGGAGAGGAGACTGAGGTAATGCTTCCTCCTGCCTGCAGCAGACGGATGACCTCAACTTAGGCAAAGTCACCTGATTGAAGCCCAAAGACTGCTTTTTAATGACGAAAGGTGGATCTTTCTTTTTTATTATTATACTATTGCTGTATATTGTGATGTACGGATTTAATCATGCAGCCTGGGACAGTTAGTGAAAGTTACTGTGGTGGTCTATTCTGTGGTATCTACAGAACAGAAGCAGGTAAGGATCATCTATATCCGCATATTATTGATCTGGAAAGGATTTTCATTTCATCAATCCTGGCGCACAGCTGTGATATATTATTATACGGGTAACTTTGGAGGGCAGATGAGTTCTCTGTATTTAGCAAAGTCGCCATTTATCGTCATTACCCAATGAGAAAAGAATTGTATATCAATGTGTTTTCTTTCATGTGACTTGCAATCAGTTGTGCATATGACCGGAGGAAATTATTTTTTACATACTTTTTCTCGCTCACAATCCTATAGTTTGGCAACAGAACACAGCCAAGTACATATAGATATTTCAGCGGCTATTGACACGGCCATTTCACGCCTTTGTGGTAGAACAGTTTGTCAGGATTCTCAGTAATCAGTTTATCTTTGTTCCTCGCAGCACATTTAATGGTCGGGAACACAATGTATCCATTCATCTTCAATTATACACACTGTAAAGATTTATCACTTCCAGTTTGGAATGACCCAGGTTTAACCTTGTGTTTTCGTGTTTTCTAAATGTCACTGACCAAGGTGCCAGTGCTTACAAAGACCCCGTCAGTAGGATGGACTTCAGCCTTTGTCCACATAGTTGTCAATGTAATCATTTTTACATTTCCTCCTGGTAATAGTTATGATTACTTTAAAGTCAACACCTTTGGGAGATTCGTATCCCACTAACTATGAGGGGACGTTTCTTTGCTGACCATCAACGTAAAGGGGTAGTACACACACCACCAACATAATAGTGACTTCACTACTGGCCAACAGTTTTAGGGAACACTTCACCTCTGACCACCAAAGTAAAGGGACAACCCAAATAAAAGGGCACTTCTCCACTAACCATCAACATAATGGGGACTTCACCACTGAGCACCAAAGTAAAGAAGCACATCTCTACTAATCACTGATGTAATGGGACATTCCTCCACTGACCACCAATGTTATGGGGGCACTTCACCACTGACCTCCAAAGTAAAGTTACTGAAAGCTTCACTATATTAAAGACTTCCCTTTCTGATGAATCCAATGTTACTGTAATATTGATGATTCCAGTATACAGTATCAGAGCGTTCCTAAACCGAGGCAGCTTTTTAATCATAAGGTTTTATGTGTGACTTTTATCACAGCAATACATTTCAAATTATGAGTGCTGCAGACCAGGCAGGAGAGGGTACAGTATGCCAAGGTTCATACAATGAACAGATAGCCAGAGCAATTACCGAGACAGTCAGGAGGATGAGTCTATAAATTGCCAAGTTCATTCAATGAGCAGACAGAGCAGCATTACGGAGACAGAGAAGGACAAGTATATAGAAAGAGCATTGCATACAATGATCAGACAGAGCAGGGAGATGAGAAGCAATGGCCATGTAGATGCCACAGTGCATACACTGAATGGACACAATGGCATGGAGTGCTCGGAAGGAACAAAATCCCAAAATGCAGATTTCACAATGCATACCACCAATGGGCACAGCAGCTACAGCCTGGGCACTGTGGTGTGTGTTATCACAGGAGCCTCCCGGGGGCTTGGCAGGAGCCTGGCATGGGAGCTGTGCCCCAGAGTGATGCCAGGCTCAGCCCTACTGCTGGTGGCCCGCACAGAGCAGGCATTGCGTTTGTTGGCGGAGGAGCTGACACTCCAGTATCCAGAGATCAAAGTGAGATGGGTGGCAGCAGATCTGGGCACAGAGGACGGGGTGAGGAGGGCAGTGCAAGCTGCACAGGAGCTGAATGGACGTGACACGGCACAAAGGGTCATCATTATCAACAATGCAGGTAAGGGCTCAATGCCAAACATGGCTGCCAGTCTTATAAAATCAATAAGACCCACTGCTCCTTAATGGACAAATATTACAAAAATATTATATCAATATGATAGATCTATATATATATACTGTATACGTATACTGATAACTGTTTTTTACGGTCACCCCTGTGGTCATCCCTGAGGGGAAGTCCTTTACTTTACTTTTACTTTTCTAATAAAAAGGGTTAAAGTTCTGTATATCTAAAGCCAAATCCCCTGCCAAGTTTTTATTGGTCTCTTTGTCTCCATGAAGGAAATACATTCTCTCTTTGTTTGTCCTGGGGACTACTATCACCAGAATCCAAAATAAGGGACACACGAATATTTTGAGTTACCACCAGAACAGGAACACAATTGGGACAATTGTTCAGGTGGCTACTGTCTAAGAAGGGAATTCCCTCACATCGGGGAGATTTCCTATCACGTCCTGTTGTCTTAACAGGAAAGAAAGTTAAGGGAAATTTCACCAATGACACACAGGGATTTTTTTGGCCAAACTCTACTCTACCCAACATAAAAAATAAAGTCAAAACTTCCTTTAGTTTTGGAAGGGTTACACTCTGCCCTCCCACTCCCTCTGGGCAATTTAACCCTCCCTGTCCTGGTGACCACTGTGAGTGATGGGGAATCTCATAATTTACATCTGTCAGCAGTGAAGGAAAATGCGGCAACTCTTCCGGTGACTACTGTCTTCAAATAGATTTCCAGGCTTTTACTGTTATGTTGAAAGAGAAGCTAGTTGCACTCCTTACCGGTAAAGCCCCGTGGTCGGGGAGGGGTGCTTGGAATGACTGCGGATGGCGCCGCCAAAATACAAATACTTGCAGAAACGTCACCAGCACAACTGATCCTTATAGGATCCAAATTCGTAAATTTATTGCAAACTCATGCTGAAATGGATCTGAAATTAAACAGACTTTCCCTCTCACTTTGTACAGTTCATTCTCGTAGATTGCTCCTTAGCTCAGTGTCTCTTCTGTATTTACTCCTTTCTGCATTGAGATTAGGTAGGCCTCATCTGTTGGTATATGGACGGCCAGGACTGTCCACTGGCTGACCGGCTAAGCTCGCCTCGGGGGGACCGACACGTCACCCCGGATTTCCGTCCGTAGACGCCCACTACAGGGTTCCTCTTACTTGGGGCGTAACAGCGCGGAACTGAACCACTGGCTGACCGGCTAAGCTTGCCTCGGGGGGACCGATACGTCACCCGCGGATTTCCGTCCGTAGACGCCCACTACAGGGTTCCTTCTTTCTCGGGGCATACAGCTCACCGAGATGAGGACAATGCCTACCGTACTCTCAGGGTTGCACAAGCCCTATTGGTCTGTCTGGTCCTCCACTACCATCCGTGTGTCATGGCTGCTCTTGGATCGGAACCTCGAGCCCCACGTTGGGCGCCAGATGAAATGGATCTGAACCACAACTGGGTTCACACAAGATGTCTGCTGCTGTTCCTAATTATGTCATTTTCGGTGCACCGGAGAAATCACAAACACAGGATTAAGGTTTATGACGCATCTACTTTATTCAGGGCGGTCTCTCTCCTTTATGCACAGATAACAGGAGAGTGCTCGTCACACATATGCCCACCTCTGTTACCTCTAAATGTCTTGTACTATTGGGCAAACTAGAGGGGCTGTTAGTTAAAGTCTTGTGTCTCTCGCTAATTGGTTAGTCAAAGATATCTTCTGCTTGTAGCGTCCTCCCTCGGCATTCCTTTCATGTGTCCTCGGCGCGCTCCCGAATACAGGATCCATCTTGGTTACGCATAGCAACGCTAAAAGCTGAGTAAGGAAAGTCACAAAGCTAGGAAGCAAATGAAACTAATTCAAAACAATTTAAAACATAGAAAAGGACATTGTCTTGATATGATGCATATTCCTTCACAATGTTTGCACAGCGCTTGTGTAACTGGCAATAAATCTACGAATCCTATAAGGATCCCTGCTCAGCATCATGACAGGTCTGTCCTCCCCGCACCTCTCTGCTTGGCATGCTGACAGGTCTCTCCTCCCTGCACTGCCCCACTCTGCATTCTGACAGGCTCCCTGCACCACCCTGGTCAGCATCCTGACAGGTCTCTCCTCCCCGCACCTTCCTGCTTGCCATGCTGACAGGTCCCTCCTCCCTGCACTGCCCCACTCAGCATTCTGACAGGCTACCTGCACCACCCAGGTCAGCATCCTGACAGGTCTTTCCTCCCCACCCTGCCCCGTCCTGCTCAGCCTCCTGACAGCTCCTCTCCGCTGGCAGCTGGATCGACTCTGTGTCCCCTCCGATCCCCGCTGCCTCTGCCAACACAGTCGGGGGAGAGCAGCAGGGATCGGAGGGGACACAGACCGGTGAACAGCGGGGAGGAGAGAAGCTAGGGATGCACGGCATTTTCAAATGTTTTTGTACAATCGGCATTTGAAATTTCAGTGCATCCCTTAACCACTTGCTGACCGGAGTGTTTACACCCCCTTCCTGTCCAGGCCATTTTTCAGTGTTCAGCGCTGCGGTACTTCAACTGACATTTATTCCGTCATGCAACGCTGTGCTGAAATTAATTTTATACCATTTTTTGGGGACAGATAGAGCTTTCCTTTGCTGGTATTTAATCACCACTGCGGGTTTTATTTTTTACTGTATAATGAAAAAAGTATCGAAAATTTTGAAAAAAAACCTGTTCTCCCTACGTTATGTTATAAAACATTTATTATTACCCAATTTTTTGTGGTAAAATATAAAATATGGGGTCACGTCGGGTAAATAGACACCAAACATGTCAAGCTATAAAAATGCGCGCACACATTTAATCGCAAAAAAACTACCATACTCAAAATTGACCATAGCCGACGCTTTAACCCTTTCGCTGCCAAGCCCTCCGGAACATTTTTCAAATCAGCTAATTTTTTTAAAAGCTTTTACCGCTCATCAGTTTAGTGTTATCAGTGATTGATGGCCCTAGAACTATTGCTCTCATTCCGAAGTTCGCGGCGATATGCAACATGTACGGCGCAATGGATGTAATCTGCGTTTTCGCACGTAGGCCGGCTTGACGCATGTTTGCGTGTGGGGGCGGGGGACTTTAATTTTTATTTTATTGCTTTGATATGTGATTTTTAATTTTTTGATTTTTTTTTTGTAACACATTTTTTTATACCTTTTTTTTCCCACTGAACTTTATTGCTATCACATAGGGAGCAAACAAGCTCCCTATGTGATAGCCAATTTGCAGTGACAGGTCCTCTTTATGGAGACATCAGGGGTCTTTAAGACCCCTAATGTCACCTAGGGACCCCCAGAGAAGCTGATGAAGCAGAGACCTGCTTCACCAGCTTCTCTCTGGTTTCTGTACCGGAGAGTGACACTGAATGCAGGAAGTGATGTAATACACATCACTGCCTGCATTCCGAAGAGGAGGAGGAGATCAAATGGAGCTTATGGAGCTCTGTATATTTCCGGCCGTTGAGCTGCTGTGCTGGTCCCAGGCTCACACCGGGCACAGCGGAGCCCGGGATTGCCAACAGCGGCGGCGATGGAGGGGGGGCGCACACCCGACCGCATATTACAAGCGATCGGGCGTCTCTACAGACGCCCGAACGCTTGTATGTAAACAGCCATCGCTGGCTGTTTACATTCAAAGCTGGTTTCCCGCTCATGCCCGCCGGCTAGGGGCAGGCACGAGCGGAACGGGATGGGATGCCTAAAGACGCCCACCCGCCCTCAAGAAGCCGCTGTCCGGCCGTTTAATTACAACGGCCAGACAGCAGGTGGTTTATGTGATGGAAATATTATTGTTCCAATTAATAGTCTGGCACCAGGTTGTCTTTAAACCTTCCCAAATAAACACAGAAAGCAAATAAAAAAAAGTTCTCCATGGTAATTGGTGAGTTTGCCAATTTTATTGGTGGGTTTGAATTTTTCTAACAATTATTGTTGTTCCCGAGTCTAAACATATCTTTTTATTAGGGATGAACCAATACCGATACTGGTATCGGTGCCGATACTGAACATTTGGGCAAGTACTCGTACCCGTCCAAATGCTCCGATACTTACCTCCGATACCGGAACTTCCGGTCAGAGGGAGAGCTCCCTGACAGCTTCCCTCCTCTCCGCTGGGCGCTGGCAGCTGGATCGACTCTGTGACCCCTCCGATTCCTGCTGCCTCTGCCAACACAGTCGGGGGAGAGCAGCAGGGATCGGAGGGAACACAGACCGGTGAACAGCGGGGGAGGAGAGAAGCTAGGGATGCACTGCATTTCCAATAAGGAAGCCAGGCGGTGGGTTATGACCCGCCTCCCGGCTTCTTGAGTGGCTAGAAAGCCGGCATCACTTGTTGCTAGGCAGCCTGACTTCCTGACCAATAAGGAAGCTGGGCGGCACCTCATGACCCAGTACCCGGCTTCTGATTGGTCAGAAAGGCAGGCAGGCTCGGCAAGTGAAACCTTTGTCTTTCGCTTTAACACCGACTTCACAGGCAATTAGGAAGCCGGGCGACGGGTCATGATCCGCCGCCCGACTTCCTGATATTCGAGGCACACGGCACCGGCAAGTACTGAAAAAAAAATATTGTTACTCGATACCGAAAACCCGGTATCAGTGCATCCCTAGTTTGTACAAACATGGAAGTTTGTGCCAGACACAGCTGGCTTCCATTTCTGGGCAGCTTTAAAGAATGTTCTTCATTATAGCTCTGTATCTTCTTCCTCTGCAGGGTCTATGGGGGACATCACCAAATCTTTTGTGGACTTTACGGACCCTCTAGAGGTGAACAGATATTTCTCCTTCAACGTGTCGTCAGCGCTGTGCCTGACCTCGTCCCTGCTGAAGGTTTACCGGGGACGTCCAGGGCTACAGCGGTTGGTGGTCAATGTCACGTCTTTGGCAGCTCTTCAGCCATTTAAGTCTTGGACGCTGTACTGCGCTGGGAAGGCAGCTCGGGAGATGATGTTCAAGGTGCTGGCCATGGAAGAGCCGGATGTCCGTGTTCTCATCTACGCACCAGGTATTAACTCACTTTCAGTAGATTTCAATGTGTTAAAGATGTAAGCAAAAAGAGCAAATGAGAACTTTGAAAAGACTATTCATAGTATTATCTGCCCCAATTAATGTGCTGCCATTTGCCCACAGGGCCCCTGGATAACATCATGCAGGACCAGGTGCAGAGTCACACACATGATCTCGAGGTCCGCCAACATTTCATAACAATGAAGAAAAGCGGCCAGCTTGTTGACTGTTCCGTCTCTGCGAAGAAAATGATGGACATTCTCGAGGAAGACACCTTCAAATCTGGCGATCACGTGGATTTTTTCGATTAGTTGTTCAGTCAGTGCTAAGTGTGTGCTTTCTCGTTCTGGTTAAAAACATCTGTGCTTGTAATGTCTTGTGCTTAGGGGTGCTGCAGTATGAGAGTACACGCTCACCTGTTTCCCGTGTTGGTAACGCCTTGCAAACATGGACTTTGCAAGCAACAAAAAGCATGTTTTGATAAAGACTTGCTAAAAAGACAGCAAAATCGGAGTTGAAATACATAAATGTGAACTGTCTCAATTGTCAAAGGATGTTTAGCCAGTCTTGTGATCCAGGCACTCCTGTTAGACAGCACAGCCAGGTCCTGCACCCCCTTAGACCCTTCTTTTTACTACAATGCAGCTGAGCAATACCATTACTTCAGGACCCGTCCTGCCTGTAAATGGTCAGTTAATCAGTACACTGATTATAACTCTGTTCTGTTCTCTCCTCCGCTCAGGAAGTCCTCCCAGTGTTAAATAGACAGCACATGTGCATGTCCTTAGATCCTGATTGGCTCAGAATGGCATCACTACTTCTTATGTTATATTATTATGTCCAGGCTGCCAATGGCTAACTAGAAGCTGTAGAAGATCTAGAACAGGCATGTCCCAATATGAGATGACACAGAAGGGCGCCCTTCTCAAGGTACTATGTCCAAAAGTGAAATGCCACAGAGGGGTGCACTTTTCCAGGTACTGTCTCCTAATGTGAGATGCCACAAAGGGGTTCCCTTCCCCAGGTACTACATCCTGATTTGAGATGCCACAGAGGGGTTCCGTTCTCCAGGTACTGCATCCCAATGTGAGGTGTCACACAGGGATGCTCTTCTCCAGGTACTATGTCCTAATGTGAGATACCACAGAGGGATTCAGTTTTCCAGGTACTGCATCCCAATGTGAGATGCCATGGAGAGATTCCCTTCCCCAGGTACTACATCCCAATGTGAGATGCCACAGAGAGATTCCCTTCCCCAGGTACTGCTTCAAAATGTGAGATGCCATGGGGAGATTCCCTTCCCCAGGCACTATGTCCTAATGTAAGATGCCACAGAGGGGTTCCCTTCTCCAGGTACTACATCCCAATGTGAGATGCCACAGAGTGGTTCCCTTCTCCAGGTACTACATCCCAATGTGAGATGCCACAGAGGGGTTCCCTTCTCCAGGTACTACATCCCAATGTGAGATGCCACAGAGGGGTTCCCTTCTCCAGGTACTACATCCCAATGTGAGATGCCACAGAGGGGTTCCCTTCCCCAGGCACAATGTCCTAATGTGAGATGCCACAGAGGGGTTCACTTCTCCAGGTACTACATCCTGATTTGAGATGCCACAGAGGGGTTCCCTTCCCCAGGCACTATGTCCTAATGTGAGATGCCACAGAGGGGTTCACTTCTCCAGGTACTACATCCCAATGTGAGATGCCACAGAGGAGTTCACTTCTCCAGGTACTACATCCCAATGTCAGATGCCACAGAGGGGTTCACTTCTCCAGGTACTACATCCCAATGTAAGATGCCTCAGAGCTCTAGTTTTTGGCAATAGGATAATCCTGGCCCCCAACATTGGATAAAGCCTCGGCTGACACATTTTCTTTCATATGCAATTTATTTAGCAAATAATTATTTGCTTAAGAAAACTGTATACAATGAAGCTAAACATACTGGGGGGAAATGTATCAAAACTGGAGCAGACAGAATCTGGAGCAGTTGCATATGGCAACCAATCAGCAGAAGAAGCTGATTGGTGGCAGCGTCAATTTATCAGCTTTGATAAATTACCCTCACTGAATTTAATAGACTTTGGGTTTTACACTTTAACCCAGAGCAGCCAATAAGATCCCACCTTACATTGGTATAGAGTAGGATAGCAAAAAGTGATCATTGCAGGCCATTGTTCCATCATGGCTGTATAAATGCCTAAAGCTGTGTCAGACTTCCATGAGGTGACCCATCCCAACATCATATTGGAAACTACTCCTTTCCCCAAATAACCAAAAAATGGTTCTAACCGCTATGCATGTCTCTCCGAGCAAAAGATACAAGATCAGACAAAATTAAAATGAAATAGTTATCGGATATACCCTCTATTACAGATAAGGAAGAGAGTGAAGTGTTAACTGGCTCCCTTCCTTCGGTAGTCTCCTCCTTTGACATAGCTACATATAGCTGTAGATGGAGACAGAGATCTGTCGACGTTGACAATACAATGCTGTTGACGCAAGACCTGTGAGTGGCTCTATACCTATCTCCGTTTTTAATCAACATCTCTGTGTGGATGTGCACTCAGGTATTTACTTCACAGACATGGTTCGGTGGGTATTCTTGGGACTGTTTACAGATACAGTCAGATATGTCCACCATTCTTTATACCCTGTTTCCCCGAAAAAAAAGACCTACCCGAAAAAAAGGCCTAGTACTATTTTTGGGAATTGATAAAATATAAGACCTACCCCGAAAATAAGACCTAGTTGGGACCATTCCCCGGGCCGGTGGTGGCATAAGGAGGAACATGAAGAGCCGCAGGAGAGGCGGGAGAGAATCAGCGGTGCCAATGAAGCCCACGCTAGAGGAAGCGAGGCGACACCGGAGGGAGCAGAGCCGCATAAGCCAATGCCTCCTCTATAGCGCCGGCTCTTGTCACAGGCGGAGTGATACCAAATGCACTCCGCCTGTGAGGAATTGATAGTGAAAGTGCGCTTCGCTCATTCTGGCCAGCGATTGGTTAGCAAATTGCTCTTGGAAAGGTACGGCACCCCTGATTACCAAATTTTTGTGCATGAATACATGTAGACTGTTGTACATGAATGTGTGTGGATTGTTGTACATTAAAAAAAAAAAAAAAAATAAGACCTACCCCGAAAATAAGACCTAGTGTGTTTTTTTGAGCAAAAAAATAAATAAGACAGTGTCTTATTTTTGGGGAAACACGGTATACAGCAGCCAGGTTTTTTTGCACATAGGTAGGATGGATGATATTTGTTTCATTTGTCATAAAGAGCTCAGTCATCTCCTGCATATGACCTGGAGCTGCTCTAGTCTCAGACCTTTTTAGGTCAAGTGTCCCAGAAGTTATGTCTGACACATTTGATATACCAAACCTATATAACCCTGCCATTCGCCTACCTGGTATACTGACGGACTAACAGATTGATGATACATTTCAAACTTTCCTCCCATTCCTTCTTTTTTATGCAAGAAAACAAAACAGTAGTTTGAAAGCTTCCTAAAACACTCGCTGGTACACCAAGTCATACCTCGTTGTTACAAACTTACTTCCAGAAGGTGCCCCAAACAATTCATATCATTTGAGATAGATGGCTGGACGGGACGGTAGGCTCTTCCCAACACCCTTGAACATCCTAGGCCTATATTCCTAACTTCCCCTTTATAATATCAACTCACACATGATGGTGCTCTGGATATTCAGTTGGGATGACCACAATATGGTCTTACTTGACATCCCACCCAACCAACCAACCAACCAACGGCCATTTACATATTACACAATGAAACCCCTTTGCATTGCTGGTGTACTTTTATATTTCTTTGTTTTTTTTACAATTGTTTTTGGTTGGTTACAACATTTCTGTAACATTAAAACAGGGGAGAAAAATTGGGGATAGATAACCTTCTAGCTATCGATACCTAAGTTACTGATATATGAGCAAGATATCCATCTTTTCACAACAGATCGTGTCCTATGTGGATAACCTGATAGTTCTGCGTTATATACAGGGTTATTCACAGAAGGGTGAAGAGTTTGGGGAAGGCCGGAGAAATTAACAATCTAGGACAACATCGCTGATTTGGAGAAATTGTCCAATTCAGCTCACCTTCCAGTTCAGCGATGTTGTTCTAGATTGTTCCCTTCTCCGGCCTTCTCCAAACTCTTCACCCTTCTGTGAATAACCCTGATAGAGAAGATAACTGCTGGACTTTGTAATTATTTTGTGTCTTGTCTTTATATGTCTGTAATACATGATTATCTTTACCTGAACATTGAAATAAAAAAGCATCTTTACAAAAGCGATGATTCTCAATATTATATACAGTATCTATGGCTAGACTAATAAGCATATAGGTGACACCGGAAGTTGTAAAGCTGCAACATGGATAGTGTCACCCTCCTGGCTATGCAGTGTACAAGGATGTGTGAATAACCAGTGTGTCTGAACAGAATGACAAATGTATCAGCATGTAAAGCAGTTTGCATTTCAATTGCCACCCTGCCCCCGGGCCCAGTCCGCCACTGGGTCAGACTAATCCAGCACGTTATTAATATGAGTGCCCCACTCAATATGGCCGCAAGCGAGGGGCATACTGAGTGGGGCAACTCAGATTAATAACGTCCGAGAAAGAGAAGAGAAAACAGAGGCGAGCGAGCGAGTCCTGAAGTTGATGTGTTGGAAGCAGAAAAAATGGGCAAGCGTGAGGATTTGAGTGACTTTGACAAGAACCAAATTGTGATTGGTAGATGACCGGGTCAGAGCAACTCCTAAACTGCATCTCTTTTGGGATGTTCCCGGTCTGCAGTGGTCAGGACCAACCAAAAGTGGTCAAAGGAAGGAAAACTGGTGAACCGGCAACAGGGTCGTGGGCGGCCAAGGCTCATTGATGCATGTGGGGAGGGAAGGCTGGCCCATGGAGTCCGATCCAATAGAAGAGCTACTGTAGCTCAGATTGCTGGAAATGTTAATGCTGGTTCCAATCGGAAGGTGTCTGAACACACAGAGCATCACAGTTTGTTATGTATGGGGCTGCGTAGTCGTTATATATATATA